CTCATTCCTTAGATAGCCTCGCTCTAAGAACAATAAAGAGTATTGACTTGTGGGGTCAAACACGTGGAACCCCATGGATCCATGCTTCCTCTAATAAAGCACTGCAAGAGAGGCTGATCTAATCACAGGCAGATGTGGGAGCTCTTCTAAGACACAGGAGAGGTACTTTGCCAATAGCACTTCCCCAAGCTAACAATTTTCGACTAGTAGGTACTATATTTTGCTCCCTTTGGGCTTGACTGTAAAATCAGTAAGTAAAAATATCACTCTGGGTTACAAAGACTCTCTGATATCTGGGACTAAATAAATGCTCACAAATTAAGCAGCACCACACCATTCCCTAAACTTCCTGTTTAAAAGATCAATACTTAAGTCACTTTGAGGGGACAGAAGTATCTCTGGAATTAAGAACATTTTGACATTTAAAACAATGAGCACAGTACAACTCAGTTGAATGTCACCCCCATCGTGGCCTAATTTCAATATGCTACACTTCAAGATGTACCACTCACAGCACTTTTATTTATTTATTAATTTATTCATTCATTAATTTTGGCAGTAGAGGGTTTGAACTCAGGGCCTCACACTTCTAAGCAGGCACTACCAAATGAGTCACTCTGACAGCCCAAGTGACAGCACTTTATAATAGACAGACTAGTTTGGAGAATTATATGAGCTTTTGGTTTTACACTAAATCTTATTTCTTTTTAAACCATGAACAAATCATTTCAATCACCAGATGGTAATTACAGTTTTGAAATTAAATTACCTAAATTATCTCTAAAAAACCACAGCCAACTGGAAAGTACATAATAGATTCCCATTAGCCTTTACTCATCTGATAGGTAAAGCAAGTGACTAGACTTTAAAAGACCTTGGCTTACTTTCCTGTATTTCGGATTTTCCATTTGCATGGTAGATATAGAATCTGAACTGATCTACTTTGAAAGAAAATTGAAAAGAGATGTTTTTAAATTCTGAGTTATTTGGATGACACAATTTAAATCCCAAGACTGGCAGAAGTGTAAAGGTATAATTAAGGAAAGATTAAGAAACTTAAGTTCTGTAAAAAAAAAAAAAAAAAGAGCTACCTGGAAAAAAAAAAGGAGTACACTGCAAGTAATCTTAGTACTGCTGGGCAATCCTGAAGATGTCAGATTCAAATAAAATTATCAGCAAGAATTTCTACGAGGAGGAATTTGATGAGGAAAATGTGATTTTAAATATTTTTTCTAGTTACAGAGGAACCTAACAAAGAACATCTAATGGAATACAGCGTTTCAACAGCAGATACCAAACATGCAGGTATCAAACCTATGTAAGTCTAAGAAAAACAATAAAGTTCACCTTCCACAAACAAATGAACAATTCAAAGCTTGCCTGAAACCTAATTGTAAAATCCTTCTCTTGTACCATTGTGCCTCTGGTTAAAAGGTGTTTCAGGACACTTTGTGGAATTGGTGCCAACAATTTGAGAAGGAAATAGAGGTTTACTTGAGACTCCAGAACATCACAAGAGGTCAGACTGCAGCAGTGTTCCAGGAAATGCACAAAGGTAGTAAAGGAACCAGGTTTTAGAAGTCATAATGGGAGTGGGAAGACTAATACAGAGGAGGCTAGCTGGAGTGATAACCTCAGCACAGGAGTTCACATTGGCATCCTGGGCAAAAATTACTGTAAGAGCTCTTCAGCCCAAGGCTGTGAATTTCTGTTCCTTGGAGGCCTTTTTGCTGCAAGCCTCAGGTGTCAGGGGGTGTGTGGCCCATGGCAGAGCTCTTCCTGCAGAGGTAACTGGGTGAGTTTACATGCATTTTCATGTACGTCACACTTGGGTCTCTGACACTTATAAGAGGATGATTTTCCTCTTCCTGTTACCAGCCTGTACTTTCCCATCCCCAGGACTAGAAGACAACATTATGCCCTGCATGTGTTAAAAGGAGTAAGACCATTATGAAAAAATTAATTGTAACAGAAGGAAGAAAACAACACATTGTAGGAGGCCAGAATATGTCACCCCAAAATATGCCACCTTAAACAATGGCGAAGCAGTATTTTGATCTGAAGTCAACTGAGAAGAAGCAAAGAAGCTTTTTGCCTCCTGCCGTAGGCCAAAACCCAGGACACAAGTTTACAGATGGCCGTCCTCCCATCTCTAACAGGACAAACACTGGGCTGTCCGTACATAAATTCACAGGCATCTGATAATTGCTGTGCTGTGGCCAAAGCATCTTTGGTGTTTCCTTATGCCTTGAGTCAGACAGTTATACAGGAAGCAGTGATTATTTTAATTAATAGATTTTTTGAACAGTTTCAGGCTTACACAATAACTGAGTTCACATATATTCCCCTCCTCCAGATTCTTCTATTATTAAACCCTGTATGAGTGTGGTACATTTGTTACACTTGATGAGTCAATATTGATACGTTATTAACTAAGATCTATATCAGGCAGCATGAAGGTTCATGGCTGCAGGCCAAGCACTCAGTTTATGGAGGAAGAAGGATGATGAGTTCCAGGCCAGCCTCGGCTATGCAGGGAGCTCTAGGCCAGTCTGGGCTATGCAGTGAGAACCTTGTCTCAAAAAGAAAAAAAGAAAAGCAATGTCTATAGTTTATGGTAGTTTTGTCTTTCCTACAGTGTCATACATTTGGGATCATACAGTATGTAACCTTTCAGACTGGCTTTTCCCCAGCAATATGTATGTATTGTATCTCTGCCTTTTTATGGACAGGTTTCTTGTCAGTGCTAAGTAATATTCCATCGTCAAGAGTGACACAGTTTATGTTACTGGAGGTCCTTTGGTTGCTTCCCAGTTGTGGCAATTTTTTAGTTTTGCTTGTTTGCTTTTTGTTTTGTTTTTCTGAGACAGGGTTTCATCTTGTAGCCTACTATGACTTCAAACTTGCAATCCTTCTGTCTCAGCCTTCCTAGTGCTGGGATTGCAAACGTGAGCCACCACACCTGGCGACCTTTGGCAATCATGAATAAAACTACTGTAAACAACTGTGTGCAGATTTTTTTAATAGTTTAGTTATTTTTATTGTATATAACATTTTAAGGTAATAATTATGATTGACAGCACTACATGAGCACCACTAAGTTTGCCTTGTTACAATTAGAAACACATGCACAAACCTGTAAAAGACTATCACATTAACAGTTTTAATTTGGAGAACACCAGCTTGGTATAGTATCTTTTTAAGCATTTGGTTCGAGGCCAGCCTGGGAAAATAGTTCATGAGATCCCCATCTCCAAAAATAACAGAGCAAAATGGACTGGAGGTGTGGCTCACATAGAAGAAAGGCTGCTTTGCAAGTGTGAAGCTCTGAGTTCAAACCCCAGTCCCACTCCCCCCAAAAAAATTAGGATTATAGAAATATCTCATTAAAATGGTTAGTTGCCAGTACATCAAAAGAAAAAAGAAAGATCAGTTGCTAGATTATAAGCACATTTAAAGATAATTTTTGAAAAGGAAAAAATGGGGTTTGCACAGAAATGCATTTAATTGATTTTTACAAAGGACCAAAAAGTAGTATCTGATTTGTGCCAAGCAGAGCATGAATTTGGAAGAGAACTCCAGTTTTCTTCCAATTCCAAACATGGGTGAACAGAAACAGACACTGAAAAGGGACAGGAAAACATCCTAATGGCATAAAGCAGACAAACACATAAATGAGAGGAAACAGTTTTCTTCCCTCATTTCAAGAGTAAGATTACTATCCCTCTTTCAGGATCTCAAATATCTTCTTCCTTGTACTTTTGAATGCAAAGCCCTCCTGAAAACTCAAATTTAATCATAATTACATTAATTGTCCTACTTTTCCTTCCAATAGAATTAAGACACCTATGAAATGTATCTGGGTTTCATTTTTTTCCAGAAATGTCATTGAATATTTTACACACCTTTAAATCAGCATGAACACATTAAGACTTTATCCAAAGGGGCTGATTCTTTTGAATTAAATGGCACAATCAATCACTTGTGTGAACCAGAAACAATTCAAATGCGCTTATTCTATGTACAAATGCAAATTAGATCAGAATTAAATTGGAATATATGCATACTAATGAAATTTAACAGTGAAAAAAGTCTGCCTTCACCCCACATGGGAAGGAGAAAGAGTAGAAGCGTAAGTGCATGAAATCTATGTTTATACCAGGGATCCACAGATACTGTTCAGAATCCATCTACTGAGCTGGGGATGTAATCATATTCTGGCGGTCACTTGTATTACCTACTCACATACACATGCAACAGCAAGAGTATGTATCATAAACAAGTGTAAGTGAGTTCCTTCTCTGTAAATAATTATTAGAGTTAAATAATGATTCAGAGAGAACATGCTGGGTGAGGGGCTGCTTTCCATGCTAGCCTCTTCTATTTGAGTCACCACATACACATATCACTTTTAAATTTTCTAAAATTTTAAACGGCTCCTTCAGGAAGACTCTTGCTTCTCTGTGTGGCATCCTGTCACTGAACCCACTGACTATTCTGCTACCCAGCATCCTCTACGCTACCTTCACTTTGAACTGCACAGGTGTGCAAACAGGGACGACACTGCAGTACTTTCTTCAGAGTTACTACATATGCGCTTTCAGCAATAAGTCCCTGAATTCTGGCTTCATCTTTCTTTCATGTTGTTCTTAGGTTTTCAATTTTTGAGACAGGCTCTTGCTCTGCAGCTTGGCTAGCTGTCAACTCACACTCCTCCTGCCTCAGCCTCCCAAGCAGCTGAGATTACAGGTGTGCACCACCACGACCCAGCTTAGCCTTCAGCTTCTACTTGGTATTCCTAACACTTGTCAAGTGATTAGCAAAAGAAGTTTGTGGATTTGAAATTAGCAGTTCACTGAAAACAACTTAAAAATCTTTTTTTAAGAAGGGAGAAACTGACAGTGCCTCAGAACACAAGGCTGTATTTCATTAGAGCTGAGATTCCCAATTCTATGTCCAAGGTCGACATAATGTTTATGATAGGAAAATAAACGGCTTACCTTTAAGAGCTTCACAGTGCTTTTTAACTGCTACAGGAGTCAAATGCAGAAAATTGGGGATCTAAAATGCAGAAGTTTAAAGAATAAATTATAGTTAAATGTCTTTTTAAAATTTTTTCACTGAAATAAGATTTCAGTACGTTGCCCAAAACGATCTCAAACTCATGGGCTCAAGTCATCCTCTTGCCCCAGCCTCCTGAGTAGCTGGGACTACAGGGATGTGCCACCACACCCGACTACTAAATGTCGTGAAAATATGAAAAAGATAATTTTCTCACAAAACTAAATCACAGGAACAACACATTTTATTTATGCAGAAAATAAAATCTGACAGTGCTTTTACAATACTAATTCTATGTCATAGGTGTTGTCAATTTAAGAAACAAGTTCCTTAAAATATAGATTCAGTACCAACTAGCTTATAAAGACACTCTGGTTCATCTTCAGATGGTATAAATCACCTTTTATCAAGTATCTTACAACAATCATGCTAGAAAAATAAGCATCATTTATATAGCATTCTTCCTGCCATGAATTTATAGGTATACTTAGAAAACTGAAAGCACTCCAGGACACTAGTCATTGTTTAGGCATCCCAGTTCTCAGACAATGTCTAGCCCAACCCTTCTCTTTAAGTTCTTTTCTCTTAATTTGAAGAAAAGATTTGTTTTCCTCAGTGTTTGTTTTCTTGTGTCTTGTGAAATGCTCTCATTTCCAAATTTCATTTATTTCTGTCACCAGAGAGTACCCCTATGCTCTGTCTCATTTTAAAAAACACAAGACATTTCTTTTCTTTCCTTTTTTTTAAGGGGAGGGTGGATTTCTTGAAACAGGGTCTCACTATTTTGCTCAGGTTGCCACAAACCTGCTCTGTAGCCCATGCTGGTCCCAAGCTTTTGATTCTCCTGTCTCAGACTCCCAAGTGCTGGGATTACAGGCACGCACCACCACACCCAGCTCTGTCTCATTTTTCACAACTTTTAGCAATTTTTTGTTTTTTAGCAGCCCTTTCATCTAATGAAAAACAAAGTGCATTTCCATTACATGATAATTTCCACTGTATATAAAATGGTACTATCTAAAACATGCATTCCCAGGGTAAGATTTTTATTTTCTTTAAAAAATCCTATAGTTCATCACAAGTCATTATAGATGTTATCAAATGAAGCACATATCACTTATTTTAAGTAGTAAAAAAGTTAGTCGATGGGGCTGGTGTTGAGGCTGAAGCGATAGAGCACCTACTCGCAAGAATAAGGCCCTGAGTTCAAGCCCCAGTACCTCACCAAAAAAAAAATTAGTTGGTGGACTATAATAATAAATTTAAATAATAGTCTACCTTTCTGGAAAGAAAGTTTTAAAATTCCTCTTTTAAAGTGGAACCTCACCTCTCAATACTCAGTTTCAAATTAGGTCACTTTGCTTTCCTTAGTTCTGCTTGAAAGATAGACTATAAAGAAGATACAAAGAAAGGGCATTCTTAAATGCCTAGGGTTCTTTGACTCTTCTTCCCGAAGGCTAATGAAAATGCAACATCCATTACTGCCTGAAAAAAATTAATTAAAATATGGCAAACTGCTCTATAAGTATGAGAGGGTAGGAAAGGAGAAAAGATCAGCATTCACTTGGGAATTTCTTACCTTTAAAAGTTCTAGATTTCCCTCCTTTGCCATGGGCACACCCTTTTTTACTGGATAACCCATTCGAACAGGTAGAGGCACCACAGAGGGTTTAAATGGCGCTGCCACAGGGTAAACACTAGGCCAGTCCTGGTCAACAGACATTTTCTCAGTCCTAGGAGGTAGTGCCTAAGAAACACAAAATACTTACATATTTCAAATTTAAAAAATTATTTAACTTAAAGCAAATGCTGCAATTATGAGACATAAAAATTAGAACTGCCAACTATATAAAATCTTACTTCCAACAAATCTGCTGCTATTCAAATGAAGAAACACTACCACTGTATAAATATCTCTGTACTGTTGCTTCAAACCCTCTGGCAAAAATCCCTTTTAACGTCAAATTTCCTTCACTAAAAGTTGATTAATTTAATGAGGCATTCAGCAAAAGTTTTACATTTTGTTTCTGAAGTGTTAATGTATTTTGAAATACTTTTTAAAACTTCTTGGATGGAAGACAGTACATGAGGGGCCATTAAAAACCTGTAAATAAGGAAGACAAAGAGAAGAATTTGGAAATAAGTAAATTAGGGGTAAACAAAGTAATATGTCTCCTAGGCACACAGAAAAATTACTTGATAGCTTAGTCAATCACATTAGCATATATATTTTAAGATATGATATGAAATAGAAGAGGGTGGCCAGCATACAAAAGTAGGGTTTAAGGTGGCAAAATCCAGCAGTGCCCAACTAAGCCATCTCAAAACCATGAAGTAGAAGAAGCAGCCAATACTCCTGTGAAAATTACTGTTCTCGATGACTCTCATTTGATGCCATTTGACATCATTTGATGCCTTTGACTCCACACTCATCAACTGACCATGTAATCTGGATCCCTATAGAAATGCCCACCGGAGTCTAATGCAAACACTCAGGCTGTATGGATGCTAACGGCATCATCAAAACCAGTTCTCTATTCTGGCTTATATATCTGTTCCCTGGGAGTATGTGGGTCATTCTCTGTCTCAAAGATGGCCCATTCTCTGGATATAGACAAAAAAAGAAAGAAAGGTCAAAAACTAACACCATCAGGGCTGTGGCAGTTACCCAGTGACCTTGGGAAGCCTGCTCTGGAGTACTACCTCACTTCAGGATTTCAGAAGCCACTAAAGTACATAAACTGTTCACCTTTCTTCTCAGTTGCCTTTCACTTCTGGATATTCTTCCTGTTGTACCTACAAGGACGTAATTGTGATAGAGAATTTAATAATGTAGAAATATTCAACATTAATCATTATTCCAAGTTCTAACACAATTTAAGATGCAGTAAAATAAACAAAGAAACTAATCTAAGTTCAGAGACGAAAATCATCTTCATGAAAACAAAAAGTCAGAAGCAGTTCAGAAAATTCTACAGCAATTTCAATAGTTTATTGTGATTGCTGGTGTAGTGAACTCATCATCATCTAAAGAAACAGTCTCATAAGTTTTAAGATTCACAACAAAATAAGCTCACTTCCAAAAATTAAAATATCTACTTAGAAGTATTTTGAATCTTTAAAAATAATCAGTTAAGACAATAATTGGCTTGAAATGCCCTAATTATGAATGTACTTGCTCATATTTGGAATTATTCTATTTTTTTTCCTATTAAAAAGATAATCCTTCGGTCTTTCAGCACATGAGAACTGCCAATGTGCTGGGCGTGGTGACACACACCTGTAATCCCAGCACACGGGAGGTTGAGGCAGGAAGATCATTAGTTTCCAACCAGCCTGGGAGTACATAGTGAGACTGTCTCAAAAAAAAAAAAAAAAAAGCCCAACACTGTACCAATGCTACAGTAACACCAGTAACAAAATCCACAGCCATTCCTAAGTCACATGACTACAGAGGACAGATTACTCACATATAGAAAACACCTTTTAAAACACTACCCTATACGCCTCTCTAAATGTTTTACTGTACTAAAATAATAGGGATATTTATTAAGCATTCCCACATGCAGAACCTGTGCTAAATGCTTTTCATTCACCATTATCTCATCTCATTTCATCCATTACAACTAATACAAGTAACTATTATAATCCTTATTTATAACTCATCTGTAGTCAACAAAACTAAAGAGCAAGAAATTTGCTGAGTGTGGTGGCTCACGGCTATGGTCCCAGCTACTCAGGAGGTTGAGATTGCAAGGACTGTGGATCCTCATGGACAAAAATTTAGTCAGACCACATCTCAACCAACAAGCTGGGTATGGTGGTGCACACCTGTGATCCCAACTATGAGGGAGGTATACTGGCCAGCCCAGGGCAAAAATGCAAGACACTTTCTTAAAAATAATTAAAGTACAAAGGCACATGACTCAAGTGATAGAACACCTGCCAGGCAAGCATGAAGCTCTGAGTTCAAACCCCAGTATGGCCAAAAAAATAAATAAAAAACAAATACATAAATTAGGGTGACACGAGCAAAGCATACAAGATTCTTTGTAGTCTGGTTCACCATCTCTAGCTTCAACTTGCTGAACAGTGAACATCCAGTACCTGGCCCTTCAGTCTTTCTCTGAACTTCGTTTTCTGCTTCACTACATTATGGATACCCAGATGGCTGGTAAAGCACTACTCCTGGGTGTCTGTGAGGGCATTTTCCAGAGCAGACTTATAGTCAGGTCTGTGAGTTGGTGGACTGAATGGGGAAAATCCATTCTCGATTCTGGGGGAGATATAGAACAGAGGAAAGGTGAATATGTTCTCTTGTTATCCCGGCTTCTCTTGTTCTAAGTGAGGAATGTTCTCCTCACTTAGACTGAGCCATATTACTGACATCCTGTGTTGCCTTTTGTGGGACTTCTTGGCCTCAATAATCACGTGAGCACATCCCCTACTGAATCTTCTCTCATCTGCCTATCTACCCATCTATCCATCCTACTGGTTCTGTCTCTGGGAGAACACTACTATGACTGGGGAATCCCACCTGAGAAAATAAGCTTTGAGCTAAAACCTGAAGGATGAGCAGAAGGCAGCCATGGAAACAGGCACTGAGAAAAAGTGTTGCCAAGTAGTGACAGAACATGGAAAGCTAAGGCAAGTAACCAGCTTCAAATACAGTAGGGCTGATATTTAAGAGCGGAACAGAGAGGCTCAAGACTTTACTGGGCTTCTCAACTATGCTTGGTAGAGTGCTTGATTTCCTCCTTGCAGTCATCCCAATCCCTGTAAACTGTACTGCCATTCGCCTAATTACTCAGGACAAAAATCTAACAGGCTTCCTTAAAACTTGTCCTCAGAACCACATCAAATCCATCAGTAAGTTTTATAAGCTCTACCTTCAAAATCTATACTAAATCCAACTACATCACCTTCTTTAATATTACTCCAAATCACCATCACCTCATCTGGACTACTGCAACAACCTCCAAACCCTTCCCTGGCTTCCACTGCTGAACCACTGAAGTTAGTTCTCCACACAGCAGCCAGTGATCTTTTGAAAGTGTAAGTTACATTTTATCACTTCCCTACTCAAAGCTCTCCAATGTGACTCCAACTCAAAAAAATCCAGCCATATATCAAAACTGAATGCCTTCAAGCCCTCACAAGATCAGGCTATTACTTAACTCTCTCACTCTTCAACTGCCACGCTCCCCATTAGTCAGGTTGGCATTATTTCTGTTCCTGGATCACACCCCAGCCTTGTCCTCACTTGTGGAACTTTGCACCTAACATTTCCTTAGGCCAAGAATGCTCTCGTCCCAAATCTCTGCATGGCTTTGGGCTCTGCTCATGGCAGAATGGTTCAGGTGGAAGAGTGCCAAGTGAGAGGCCCTGAGTTCAAACCCAAGTCCCGTCAAAAAACAGACATGTCATTTCCTCTGAGAGGTCTGACTACCCTATCTTATTCTACCCTACAGCCACTACTCTCCCAGTACATCATTCTCAAGAAACACTATGACATTTTATGTAGCTGATTACTTTTTTGCAAAAGAACGTACCCTACTGGGTGTCTACAACACTACCTCACATACAGTAGGAGTTAAGTACTCAGGATAACAGAAGAAAAAATTAGAAACAGGTGCTGTACGTATAAGGGCCATTAGGATGTATCCAGGAATTTGTAATTTATCCGAAAGCCACTTGTAGATTCTCGACACGGGAGTGGCAAGACAAGATCTGAGTTTTGAACGCCCCCTCCAGCTCCTGCGAGGACTTAACGCGGGACGGGCGCAGCACTGAAGGGTGAAGGTCGTCCCCTCGGGACTTGGTATCGGGCTGTCCTTTCCTCTGGCACAGCTGTGCGGGACTAGCACTCGGGGCGCCGTAACCGCACGGACCCGGGAGAGGAAAGGCCCAGCTCGCGGCTTCCCCACCCGCTGCAGCAAGGGCGGCGGATCGGTCTCCCCGGCCGCAGTTCGCCCTCACCAAGCCCAGGCCCGTGGGCGACGCAGGACACTCACGCGGACTGGGTCTCGCAGCGTGGTGGCCGGGCTCACGGCGGTGGAGAAGGCGCGCAGGCTCTTAACCACCGGCCGTGGGCCGAGCCACAGCAGGAACACGGCAGCCGCCATGCCGCACGGGGAAGGGACGGCACGCTGTGCGTCGGGGGGCGGGGGCCGAGCGGTGGGCGTGTCCTGTCTCGCCACGCCCCTCGTATGCAAATACCTGCAGGGCGCTGGTGTGGATCCAAGGCCAGAGCCCAAGGGCAGAAGATACCCCAGGATAGATAAAAGTCATGGAAAGAAAACAATGTTTTTAATCAGCTGAGAGACCACTGCGAATGAGGACCATAGGGAGTGGGGGAATATGGCTTACAGAGGCCTGGCGTGGTGGGGGTTGGACCTCAGCTGGCCCAGGAGTAGGGTGGATTAACATACACCCCTTTATAAAATTACCCTCTGTTTTTATAGCAAAATGCAAAATTATAAAAACAACAACTTTCAGTACGTTTACAACCGGTAGAGCCGGAGTATCCAGCAAGCATGCTACAGTTTTTTTTTTTTTTTTTTTTTTTCCAGTACTGGGGTTTGAACTCAGGGCCTACACCTTGAGTCACTACACCAGCCCTTTTTTGTGAGATAGGGTCTTGGAAACTGTTTACCCTGGCTGGATTTGAACCACGATCCTGCTGATCTCTGCCTTCTGAGTAGCTGTAATTACAGATGTGAACCACAAGTGCGCCTGGCATTCTTGCTGTGAGCATGCACAATGCCTGAGAGTCAAACAGTATGTGTGTTCCTGCACAGGGCACAAATGGCATGACATGTATGTATTTGCATTAATCACTGTCCTCATCTTTTCTGACCTCTTTCCATCCCACTATTGCTCCAAAGCAGAAGCACTGGGCATTGGTTTCCTAGGACTCACTGTAGCAAAGACCACACCCTGGGTGGCCCAAAAGAACAGAAATTTATTCTCTCACAGTTCTGGAATCTAAATGTCTGAAACCTAGGGGTCCTCAGGGTTGGTTCCTTTTGAAGGCTCTGAGGGTTAAGCAGTTGCAAGTCTCTCTAAAGTAAGGTGGATATGGGGCTTTGAGATCTTGGGGAAATCCCCTTAAGCTCTCTGAGCTTCAGATTCAAGGAAAAAGTAACAATAATGCCTGTCTCCCTCAGGATGGTTGTGATAAGTGGGATATGGTTCACAAGGCATAGTACAAATGGAGGTCACTGGATTAAGCTCAAGGTCAATACAGTAGTCTCTTTTTTCTGCTCTCAAATTTGTGCATTTTAGTGAGTATATTAGTACATAGTGTACAAGACCTATACCATAGAAATTTAGTGACAAAGAATATGATTGTATTCAGAAAATTTTCAGTCCCACATTGTACCTTGATCTTTTTATTGTTTTCCCTGGAATCAAGTGCAGTAACTTTCATTCTACATTAAAAATTAATTTTTAATTAATTTAGTATTATTGGCAGTATTATCTGCCAATAGTCAATAATAATACTGTTTTATACATATAGGAGTTACTAAGAGTTACTTATTTTTTCAATTGGAAAGGATTTTGGTGGTGCATTCACTTGTGATAAACTTATAATAAAAATATTTTTTCAGGCTTTTTGAATGAATAATCTAACATAATAAAGAAACCAAGCTGGCTTTTTGGGCATATGACCTGCACTTAGAAGGGCCCTGTGTTTGACATAATGCTCTGTGATTTCAGACTTAAAACTATTGCTATTTTTTTTTGGTGGTACTGGGATTTGAACTCAGGTCCTCACACTTGCTAGGCAGGTACTCTACCACTTGAGCCACTGCACCAGCCCTTTTTTCTGTTGGGTAATTTGAAGATAGGGTCTCAGAACTATTTGCCTGGGCCAGCTGTGAACTTTGATCATCCTGATCTCTGTCTCCAGAGTAGGTAGAATTACAGACATGAGCCACCAGTGCCCAACTGACTTAAAGTTATTAATAATACTTGAACAAGGGATTCCACCCTCACTTACATTGATCCTTACAAATCATGCAGCCAATCCTGTATATAACAATGTTAAATATTAAACTCTCTGATGTCTTGAATTGCCATTATTTTTTCCTTGTTGTTTTATTGTGTTTTATTTTTGGCTGTATTTAAAGCCTGAATTATAGCCACGTATGAAGGTATGTGCCTATAACCCAGCACTCAGGAGGCCGAGGCAGGAGGATTGTGAGATTGAGGTCAGCATGGGCTACACAGCAAGATCCTACTCAAAACAAAACAAAACAAAACAAAAAACCTAAATTTCTTTTATTTAAAACTTCTTTATTAAAAATGTGGGAACAAAGTATGTCTGTTTGCAAGTATTGTAGACAATATGTAAATATTCAGGTATAGGAAATGCTGCTAGAAGCTGAGTGCTGGTGGCTTATGCCTATAATCCTAGCTACTTGGGAGGCTGAGATTGGGAGGATGGTGGCTTGAGGCCAGCTGGGACAAATAGTTTGCAAGATCCAATCTCCAAAATAACCAGAGCAAAATGAACTGGTGGTATGGCTTACGTCGTAGAGCACCTGCTTTGCAAGCACAAAGCCCTGAGTTCAAAATGCTGTCCCACCCACTAAAAAAAAAAAGAAAAGAAAAAAGAAATACTATTAGGAATTCAGACAGAATACATGAGGTTTCAGATGGAAATGAGGACCACTGGGAATTGGACATTTGTGTCACGTTCTGGCAAAAAACTTATCTACATTTTGTCCATGCCCTGAGATTTTGTAGGAGGCTGAATATAAAGGTTTTGGACTCCTTTATGTGGTGGAGATTTCAAGGCAACACACCATTTATGGCTGTAGAGTGGGCATTCTGGCTGCTTTGAACCAGACTTACAATAAGAATCAAGAGTAAAAACACAGAACAGAAGGACTTGAAAAACTTGCAGGTTAGCCAGAAAAGAAACACATGTAAAGTTGGGGTCAAGGAAGGTGGAGTTGATGAAGAAGCCAAGTCCTTTGCACTAGGACAATAGGAAACACGCCTTGAGGGCATCTCAGTACTTAGCCTGACTTCACCAGTCACAGTCTCAGAGTGTCAAGCTATAAACTCATTTGAAAGACTTTGCTTTGAGCAGAGATATTGGGGTGCCCTGATAGCACAGGATTGCCTAGTTTCAGCCTTCCAGGGACTCAGAGGCCACCACAGCATTTGTCCAAGAGGGCCCAGCTACTGCTTGAGCTGGTGGCCAACCTAGGCATCATCCACCATGCCTGCTGACTTTGTAGGCAAGCAGAATTCAAGAGTTGTACAATCATGGAGGCTCCCACCCAGATTTCAAAGGAAAGCCTGGGAATCCAGGGTCAGGATCCCTGCAGGAAGGGTGATGCAGGAAGCTGTGAGAGTGAAGCCTACACTGCAGTGAAGACTTCACAAAGTCGGAGATGCCAGGAATGTGGAATGTCTGCAAGGAAAGCTGCAGGCTCAGAGCAGAGCCAGCCAAGGAGAGAGGCTGAAGGGTTACAGTGCCAGGCTGCAGGGTGGGGCTGTCCAAGCCCTTGAGATCTCACATCCCTCCAGTGTACGCTCCATATGCTGCTGTACATGGAACCACAGGATGTAGTGTTTGCCCTGCTGGATTTCAGTCTTGTTTTAGTTCAGTCCTTCCTTGCTCTTCTCTTGTTCCTTCCTTTCAGAATGGGAATGTTTATGCCACTCTATGTTGGAAGTATGTAAATTGTTCTTTGATTTTTACAGTGCCTCATAGCTGAGTTTACCTTGAGTCTCAGAAGAACCTTTGAATTTGGACTTTTGAACAACACTTGAACTTTTAAGACTCTGAGGACTCTTATAGATGGACTGAATGCATTGCACTTTATGAGACGGCCTCAATCCTGGAAACTGGGTGGAATATTATGGTTTGAATAGGGAGTGTCTCCAAAAGGCTCCTGTGTTGAAGGCTTGATCCCCACAGGCTGATGCTATTGAGAGGTGACTGGACCATGAGGGAACTCATTTCCTCAATGGGTTAACCCATTGATGAGTTCATAGCTGAATGGACAATTAGGAGGTGGGGCCTAGTTAGAGGAAGTAGGTCACCAGGTGCCTGTCTTTGAAGGGTATACATGCTTCCTGCCCCTCTTCATCTTACTTTCAGCCTCTGGTCCACCATAAGTGACCACTTTGCACCATAATACTGCCCACCATGCTGTTCTGCTCACCATGCTGCTCCAAGAAGCAACCATGGACTGAAGTCATGAGGCACAAGTAAGTCCTTCCACACTTATTTACCCAGGAACGTTGTCACAGCAATGCAAAGTTGTCTAACACGGGTGTGACTCCTGAGGACTTCACTTTTGCACTTTAATTTCACTTCTGTACTTTGTTTACCCCAAGAATGCAGCTTTTAAAAAATTGAGGATGCAGTAGTTTTTTTATTTAGTTAATTTTTTGGTGGGACTGGGGTTTGAACTTAGGGCTTTGTGCTTGCAAGGCAGGAATGCTACCACTTCAGCCACTTTACCAGCCCTTTTTTGTGTTGGATATTTTCTAGATATTTTCAAGTTACAAGCCTCCTGATCTCTGCCTCCTGAGTAGCTAGGATTATAGGCATGAGCCACTGGTGTCCACTGGTACTGGAGTTTGGGGTCTTACACTTGCTAGGCAAGACCTCTACCACTTGACCTGCACCTCCAGTCCCAAGGATGAAGTATTTTTTAAATCAGCAAAAACTTCACATTTTTATTTTCACTTAGGGTAAAACCAAAAACAAGTCTTTGGTTTGTATCTTCCAGTTGTTAATACCATGAATGCTTATAAGTTGTATTAGGTTCTCTGACATTTTGGTAAGCTTACATTTTAGTATCTATTTCACAGTCTGTCTGCTTTGACTTAGTTGAAGTCACACCCAGTTTACAGGTAAGAAACTGACAGAGTTAAGGTACTTGACTCTGTTCTTATGAGAATGAGACTCAAACTCACACCCGATTCCAAGATGCATATTCTTTGTACTCTACACCACCATCTTGACAGCTTACTCTACACAGCACACAGGGGTCATCTACACCAAGGAAACATTAAGTGATTGTAAACATTCAAAGTATAAGTAAGGACTGCTT